GTGTAATAATTGCAAAATCTCCATCGTGCGGGAGCGTGAACAGTGAACACCCCCTCCCGCACCCTCCCCCCGCCCGGTCGCTTGGCTCCCTCGCCTGGTCGCTTCGCGCCCGAGCAGGGGCGTGTACAGGGGGGGTCCAGGGAGTCCGGACCCCACCTTGCTCGCGCAGAAAACGCATCTGAGAGGGTGTAATTTTGAACATTTTCTGGGGGAGGGCCCCCCAGACCCCCCCTTCGCGTGCTCGCAACTTCGGGTTACGGTTAGACCCCCCCTGGTACAAATCCTGTACACGCCCCTGCCGAGCAAATTGCCAACATTGAAAAACGAACCCCCCCCAATACAAAGCTGGCTACGGGCCTGTATATATATAGCAAAAATGCATTTATAAGTAAGTACTCCATGCTCATGCTGCAAGATTTGTGGATGACCAATAATTATTCAATCCGATCAAGAGCTACTCTGATACATACTTAGACTGATCTATTTACAGCATAGTTTTAAACAAATAAAGCCAACTTTTAGTTTTATTCACAGCTAGTCTTGATTCAAGGACATGTACACACATGCATACGCATGCACACGTACATGCAAACACACACGCACACGCACACGCGCACGCGCATGCACACGCACCCACGCACCCACGCACACACACACACAGACAATTCACTATGTAAGGGATAAAACGATATGGAAAGAATGTAGAGTAAGCAAACAATATCTTGGTCATGCGTATGGATTCTAACTTGTATGATAGAAAGCTACATTTATAGCTAAACATAACTGAACATGATATCACAATTTATACTAGTTATAGTTGAACTCACTTTGCATTAATAATAATAACGAGGGCAAGAAAGAAAACAAGAAACGGGTCAGCTGCTTGCAGATACACATCCCACATCACCAAGGTCACCTCCAAGTCACAATGGGCAGCAAACAGACTACGTAACTGCCAAAAAAGAAAACATACAATATCAGTGTCTAGTTGGACGCAATCCTTCGTTACAAAGCAGCCATCTAAAAATCTGTTAAAGGTAGCCATTTTACATGTCCAAAGTTATAAAACAATGAGCAAGGAAGCAAAACATCACTATTAAATTAATATAGAAGTAACTTACATACACAATTATATATTATATCAAACTAGAAGGTAATTCAGCACATCATTTGTACTCTTTCACAGAGAAACTAGTTAACCTCTCGTAAGAAAACACTCACTCACTGACTCTCTACCAGGATTCAACTGACTTGGTATAAAAACATATGAATACTAACATACCCAACTCTGTGAGTAGACATCAGGTGTGATTTTCTTTGTGTCGAGAAAGCTACACAACTCTGGGTCATGGTAGAGCAACAACAGTCTGAACAGATGAAAGGGCTTTCCATCCTTTGCACAATCCCTGCAGCATTAAACAATTAAGGCAATTGATAACCTCCTAATACAAATCAATAAACCTAATTATCTAGTAACAAAGTAAAAGGTACAGACTAGCTAACAAATAACATTAGAGACCCCTAGAGAAAATGGCACAAGAAAGGACATTGTTCTGATTTCAACATAAATCTAAACGCAATAACAACTTACTTTAATCAATTCAACATGCAAATGGTTATGTTTGTCAAACGGCAAAATAAATTTATTCGTGCAGCCTTTCGTATCATCGGAACATCACTGACCTAGGTATATATTTACTCATAATTGCACAGAAGCAGTTGTACAGTTCTGACTTGGGCATCTTCAATGCTATAAGTGGTTGCAGAATCTCAAGCCAGCCATTGTCTGTTCTGTAGATGAGCTCACGAGACTTGCAGTAAAGAGTCAGAACAGACTCAAGGTCACTGACCAGCGCCACTCGCTCGTCCTCATCATTCCCAAGTTTCTCTGAACAGAAAAGAAAAGTGTGAAAAGAAAAACCAAACTATTTTATCGCAAAAATACAGTGTATTCATTGTACATCTTTCTACAATTACAAGAAACGATTCAGTGACGAGGCCATGCGCTAAAACCCTGGAGCTTGCAGGAAACATTTCTTATATACAATAGAACGCATATACATAATAGAGGAAACAGGCTTAGTTATATACAATTCAAAATATGTGGCGAGTATTCATGAAACAATCCTTAAAACTATAAACCAGTGATTTCATGTTATGAAAAACAATTATCAATTGCATTGATTGCACCACAGATATCCAGTGTTCTCATTAGGAACCGGCCACCGGCCGAATTGACTGTCTACTCTGTGTTTCGGCCGGTTACAATTGGCTCAAGTATGATATAAAAAAAATGTTAAAAAATCTAATTATTCTCCAAAGTGAAAGTGTTTTATGAGCTACTACTAATAAATCAGTTGAGTATATTTGTATGCATGTTATGTGCACAAGAAGCATTGTTTTGTTTTTGAGTAATGCTATTTACGTCTAACTCTTATAATTACTAAATCGTCATAATTTGAAAACTTTTGGGGAACTCTGAATGTACCAGGAGAAACCAAATTGGAATGAAAGTGTCAATGACACTGTAGCTCACCACAAAAAAGGTCACAAATGAGTGAGTGAGAAGAAGTCAGTTTTAATTGAGCAACCATCGACGTACATTATAGAAACGAAGAGTATATATGGGAGAACTCCCATTATATACTCTTGATAATTATGTGTAATTTTTTATGTGAAAATAATAAATAATATTATATATATAAATTATAAATAATTTATAAACCAAAATGAATCACAATTTGTGACGGTAGATGGCGCTATACCCGCTTTGATGTTTCTTAGCATAAATCATTATATCATAATAATAATAATATAATAATAATAGTATAAATCATAATATGTTCATAGCAGGAATTTTGCATTAAAGATATTGTCAATGAAATCTTGTAAAACGAACCAGACGAGTGTGACACCACAGACTGTTTGTTATCTGCGTGTCTATATAATATGCTATATAATTGCCAAACCCTACCTAATTTGCATTTTTTTTTTTTAATATCAAAACACCAAGCCCTTATTCATTCACATACCAAAAATGAGCAAAATCCGTTGAACCTGAACTGACTAATGGCAATTCCCATGTTTGCCAAAAAATTGCCGTGGCTCGAAAGTACGTCGACTGGCGTGCTCCAAAATAGGACGTTTAATATGGGAGCATAGCAGTAACAACTATACCCAACATGTGGGTCAAACGGTTCCTGAGTTATCGTTGACCGTAGCCAAATGTTGACGGACGGACGAACGTACGACGACCCATGGCAATAGCTCAGCTTGACGATGTCAAGGTGAGCTAAAAAAGGACCATAGTGTAATCTAAATGTGTCTGTTTACTGCAGCTCAGAGTACACCAGATTGCATCTCAGAGCATCTAGGTTTTTTTTTTAATTTGGGGGGGGACCCGCACACCGCCATGGCCTGTTGCAAAAGCATTTCGGCCTGTTACTATAAAAGATAATAAAAACCCTGGATATCACTACACACTAGACCAGACTGTATGTTTACAAGTATATGTCAACGGATTACGCTCCAGTGCAACAGACCTCACTGTTTTAATGATTAAGCAGTTAATATAACCTGCTCTGCCATCATGAAATCAAAATGAATGTGGATGTTTTATTCACTTAGCTGCTGAAATAACTGGAAAACCAATACACTAAATAGTAGTATGATGCTAAAATGGTAAACAACTGATACTATAGTATAAGTATCCACACTCCACAGTGTATGTACATTTTTATTAACACATTCAGTCATACATGGAGCAATTTAAGCCTTCAAATTACACCCACATATATCTGATTTACTACGTGCTTCGTATTATAGTAATTTGTACTCACCTGTATGATGATTCAAGTGTGAATTTATAATGCAAAATGCTACTAATGACTAATGGTTAGAATTGTTGAAATTTTTGTTACAGATGCTTACCTACAAATATCTCACAATCAGCCCTAAGGTCTTTTTGTTCAGGCATGTCAAATATTTCATCCCATGTGGCCAATGCATCTCCTTTTCCAATAACATTTAAGGCTATCTGAAAGTTAAAATAATATCAATTTAGTGGCTACATTGAACAGGTACGGATTATTTTTACCTACCTTCACCACATAAAACATTTGAGGTTCTACCAAAGGAGATCTGAGCAAGTACTTCAAACATCAAGTAGTTTACCTACTTGATTGTGAAACATACAAAACTGAAAATCACTATGATCTCAGTGACCAGAGCAAAGTTCTGTAGTTTTTCCCATTAGGCTGAATAGGAATGTAAGATTTATGAATTGCTTGGGAACTTAATTATTAATATTAACTGACAAGGTTATAATGTTAACCTCGTTTTGTTTTGTTATTAAGTAATTGGCACATCCATTCTTGGTGGTAGCAAAAGGAAATACACCCCTAAATAAGTTCATCGAAATTTCTTGTTCTCTATCAGTTGTTATGGATATCATGTTGCATTTTTCACCTTTTTTATAAGCTTCTGCACTACGGAATACTATACGCACGACTGCACACATTGTACAAACACTGACACATTCTGGATTGTTATTTGTATTAAAATGTGTGCATGCATACACAAACATACATGCAAGCATATATATATATATATATATATATATCAAGAGCTCATAATAGAGAAGAGTATGACACCGTTTTAACAGCGTTTTGCATAGTTTTCAACATTCTATCAATATGTGAATAAATATATTCAAACTTTACCTTGTTTTCGTCTATGATTCTCCCTTAATCATATGACACCACCAATTTACCTGAAAATCGTACGTGTTCTTCAAAAAAGTTATTTTAATACGACACGGTTTCACACAGTTTTCCCAAATGATCGTATGTATTCGGCGCAAGTTTATTATCGGATTAGTGTTCTATTGTCTATGACGGAATGCTGGGGGCTGTTGGGGATATTAGGCATCGAATTGTATTCAGCATGTAGCGTTTCCAGCGTGCTAGAAATAAATGTGTGCTCACGACGAGCTAGCAGCTGATTTTAGCTGTGTTGCCATCGTGTTCCTGATGATAAGGAAGAGAAACAAGTGCTGTTACTGTGCTTACCTAATATCCCCAACAGCCCCCAGCATCCCGTAGTTACAACCTGGTGCTGCCGTCGCATATCAACATGAGGCGAATACATGCGATCATATGGGAAAACTGTGTGAAACCGTGTCGTATTCAAAGAACTTTTTTGAAGAACACTTGATTTTCAGGTAAATTGGTGGTGTCCTATGATTAAGGGAGAATCATAGACGAAAACAAGGTAAAGTTTGAATATATTTATTCACATATTGATAGAATATTTACAAGTTGAAAACTATGCAAAACGGTGTCATACTCTTCTACAACCAACAGAGACAAACATGCACCGGCACGCGTACGCACGTACACACGCAAACGCACGTGCCAATGAGCCTTTTCTAGTCAAGTGACCTACATCAACGAAACATACCTGCCATACTTGGTGTCGGATGTGTGATGGGACTGCTCGCCCTTTGCAGATGTTCCTCACGATTCCGAAGTCACAACCTTCAAGCAGAGCCGACTCCAGGTCATTGGTCCTTCAAACATGTGATTTATTTAAATTTAGATAAACTTTTATAGTGATAGAAAAGCAATCTGCTATAACTGAGAAAGGAAAACACACACAGAACGCATGGACATTAATTACAACCCAAAAAATTATATATATATTATATATATATTTATTTATTTATACCCAAAAAATTAACATTAGTATATAACTGTACAACTTAAACGTTAACCATACAGGTATTTGAATGTAATAAGCTCAAGATTTCGATCTTGCCAGTATACAGTTCAATATGAACAGAGAACGTAATTAATTTTAAATGCATTTATGCCAGTGTATAGTCTGTTTGGTTATGAGCTGCTGATATGATGTTTTCAGCTTTCAGAGGTCATACAGCTAGAGTACACCGACATGCATACGCTGCAAGATTTTGTTATTAGAAAAGTTCATGACTACTTCTTCGCTGTCTTATTTTACTGGATGTATAAAGATTTTCCCTAAATGAGCAAAAGAAACAGAATTCTATGCTGCAGTACACCACTTGATAACTATCTAGTAAAACCTACAAACTGCTGATGATTTCATGGTTGTTTATAGTACTATCACTACCAGGGATCTCTCCGGACCTTTAATGGACGTTGGGTCTGACATGCCTTCAAAGATGAAGATAACTGACAACATCAAATAAATCCTCCAAAATGCTGTCATTGCCTAAATCGCACACCTAAGTTTCTAGCTGTGTTTACTTTTGATAATCCAAACAATCATGCTGTTTTATCAGCTTGATGTATACGTCTTCGAACTGATCAAGTTTACCTGTATATTGGGGCCGCTTATACGCGTAATTGACTACGATTGGTACAATCCACTCATAGGCCCTTCCTTATCTGTCCATAAATCACATTCAGGGGGGAATTCTGAATTCCAGGGTTTGTAAATTTCGGGTGTGCCGACATCCATTGGCATGCAAGCAGAGCAGTCCATTGCAAAGCAACTTACTTGCGCTAATGCTATAATGCCGGAGGGGGGGTGTCGGAAACAGTTGTTTTTGTGTGAAATTTATTAATAAAAACAGCCCAAAAAATAAACAACCTGCTTGTAAAAATAACCTAAATATCTGCGTTCAAACTGTAAATTTCAATCTCCATTTGGATTAAATGAATTTGTCCGATAGTCGGCATCGAACCTGTTAGTCAGAGCATATATATATATACTCTGGCCATGCGAGTTCTCCCAGTGTTGTCACGGGTGCCAAGGTTAAAGTCACATAACATCAGGAGTAAGATAATATAGGATATCCTATATTATCTTACTCCTGATAACATTATAGCTGAATTTGATATTCCATCATCAATGAGGTTATTTTTGGCAAGAAACAATTTCGTGGAATTTTTTCAGTTTTTTAACATTCTTTCAATAGTGTGTATATGATTCAGTAGAACTTTTAATTGGCTGAGCAAAGACATAACAGTGTCAGTATGTATTAATTTATGTCTGACTAAATTATAAATACACCAAGGAAAGTGTGGGCATAATATGTATAATGCTTTATTCTTTTTCTTTCATCTAACATCAATTTGTAATAACAACGACCTTGGTATGTCGTCGTCGACCCATAATCAATACAAGAGGACCCAACAAGTTTTCGATTAGCCTTTTTAAATTAACATGAGGGTATTAGTTGTTGTTATTGATATTACCACGATTGTGTAGCACATGCTATTGGGCATTGCTGTTAGTTTGGAGTCTGCTCTGCTCTCTGCTGCTGTATTCATGCAACCATATGTATATACAAACACGTGTTTGTATATATGATGCAACAGAGACAGCAGTAGTTCAGACACCAAGTATTGCCAGTTATGAGTTTTCACTAGTATGTCTTTATGCTACCTTTATGATTTCATTCCTTTATATTTGTTTCTAACTTTAATTTGTATTTGCAGTTCTCTGTTTGTTGCAGGTGGAAATTCTGATAAATATTAAGTGCAGCCGAGTTGGTAAGTGACGTACTCATTCAAGAATAATTACTATACTCGCACGCTGCTTGGAACACTGTTGATCGGGGATTAAACTCTTGCTAAATGACAAGTCAGTTAACTTTCTTACATCTGTTTGTTAAATTCTGTACAGACTTTAGACCATGATTATAAAACTGAGGTCTGACAAACATCCACTATGTTAAAATCACATGCTAATGTGAACACTAGGGTTTTCTGTGGTTCTTGCACTTAGATAATAATTTTAAATAATTTACCCAGAGAAATCTAGTAAATTGCTAGGGTAAACCTCCGACTCGATCCACAGAAATGTAAACCTGATCAACTACCTTGATTTATACACGAGTAATAGCAGCGTATTACATTCTGGGTTCAGGAATTCATTTGGATTTCATTCTGCTTCCGAGCTATATGAGCCCCACCAAGCTAAGCCAGCATGATCCGCTCATGAATGATGTCACACATGCGACTATGTTCATTGGCAAAACAATCGAGTATCACATTTAAGGATACTCTCAAGGTCTTAGGCAAAATTTTACCGATTTTTCATTTTCAACTTCATTCGATGGCTAAGCACTATGATGAGGGATGGTGCCACTCTCTGCTCAAGTTGGATGAGTTACGCGTAGTAAATCGTAAGTATTATAAGGCTAGTAAATGACGAATTTCCCTTGTTTATTGATGTCACACTCCTTCCCTATTATCTACTCCTGATATATATACAGTTTACATTGCTTCTAGATATCTAACTGAATAAAAATAGTCCACTTTCTACGTTAAGAAAAGTGACGAATTCAGTTAACAGCTTTGATTACGTGCGTGTCAGCTGTCACTGGTCGTGCCCTCACTCCCCACGATAGCCCCTGCGATATAAAAACTTATTGTTATGCGGTCATAAAAACACTGGGCTGCACTACATGCCCGCGATGCCCCAATCGATTTCTTAGACTTTCGCGAGTTTTTGTTCGTGTGGCGAATCATGCGTTGATACCCCCGTCACACCGGGGTGGCGTCCTTATTGCGCTGCTACGGCGACGGAAAATGGGCCCAGAGCGCGCCAAGGTCGCCATAAGCGTGGTATAAGCGTGGTGGAAACGCCAGACATCGTGGTGTGGTCGCCATGGTCGCCAATGATCGCCAAGTCACGGCGTTTGTTTTGAGCATGTTCAAAACAAACACCAAGGTTCGGCGATCTGACCTGGAACGCGGTGAGAACGCGGTGGGGTCGCGTGGCAAAGACGCTGCGAAAATGGTAACATTTTCAACGGCGAATTCATGGATCTGTCTCATCCGATCTGCCGATCTGTTTCATGCCGATCTGTCTCAGCCACGGCCACGGCCTCGGCCTCTGGTAGCTTGTTTCTTCGGCATCGTGATTCGTGTTTCTACTGCAGCAACGCACAACTATACAGGTTAAAATTTACCGAAAATCTGACCAGCTGTATATAGTCGCCGTGGAGAAGTGGTAGATGCCGTGAGGTGCGCGCTGCAGTCGCGATACACGTAGAAGACGCGGGTGTAAGAACGCCCATGAGCGTTGGTGCAGAGTGCCGTAGGAACTGCCGGGATCGCCCCTGTGCCAAGCCCATAGAATCTCAATGAAACGCCATAAGCTCGGAGAGGTCGTAGGCGGCTGCGCGCCGTGAGAAACTGCGGTATGATCGCAGCAGTCGCGGTAGAGCGCGGTTTTTTCAAATTGTAATTTGTTGCGGATCTTTTTCTCGCGTTGTGTTCGCAGTTTCCGGCCGACCTTGTAGCATTTTCTGGTTGCGTACGGTCTGCGATGGTTCCCGTCCAGTGTGACGGGGGTATGAAGAAGTTCATGCAGCTCTAGATGTTTTGGATACCCCGTCTACGTTGAGGAACGGGTCGTATTATGCGCTCCCGTTTACAAGTCTGTTTAAACTGCCGTTGCGCTAACCGTAGTATTTCAGCGTAATATGAGGGGAAAAAGTGCTGGTCAGGAGGACCGAGAGTTTCGTAGAGATGGTGGACCGAGCAAAAACTTGGGCCTGGGCCTCCGGGTCGGAACTAATTTCGAACGCTGCCGGCAGCACGGGAGCGATTTTTTCTCGTATCTTCCAAAATTTTCGCTCTCGTAATTGTTGTTACCAGAGCGCTTTGAAAGCTGACGGGAGCAAAATCGCTCGCCGCTCCCGTGTATTTTTTTCTCTGTCTTATATTCTTAAAAATACTATCACATCTGCAATGTCCTTAGTTTAATAGTTAATAGTAATAATACTAATAGCATTTTTAGCAACACTTGGTGTCACCAGCAAACATTCTCATCTGGCAGTACAGTAGCTCTAGTAACTATGGCCCGTGCGCAGTTGCCGCAGGGCTATAGGATCTTCTATTGCGGATGCTCCGGACCAACTTAGTAACGGTTACTTGCGGCTATAAAACGTCTGTGATAGGCAATTAATGCCTCTTATCCGAAGTGAATATGTCTTAAGTTATATCTGCAACTAAAATTTAACCTCTAACTATCGTTGAAATGGTCTGCTTGCGGTATTTCTTGTGAACGAACATTCGATTTGCGAACTTCAAACGGCCATTTTTGGCGGCACTGCAGCAGCGCCAGTCAGCGGGTTGGTCCCTAGCATTGGTAATAGAATGTGCTATAGAGTACCGAAGTGATGACGTCCCGGTGGCATGACAACGAGCCTGCTGGTTCTACACAATCATA